GATCATAAGGGCCAGTTCATGGACATTTACATTGGAAGATTGGGGAAGGTGCATATGTTCCATATTCCAGAACTCAATCCTGTTACTGAGGATGCATCCTGACACACCATCAGAGTCAGGGACGTGGACATGCCCATTTGCATCCATGCTTTTGCCAGCAGAGAGTATGTTAATGAAGTGCTCATGAGCATTTGCCGCGTTGTTATTTGCATATTCTCTGCCGATGCTTTTTGTTCAATAGGTTTTTGCGCAAAAATAAGCAATGTAGATGGTCCTTTTTGTGCAAAAAACCTCTTAGGCGCAAGATCCTTATACCTCCTTTTTTGAAGCATAAGGATCTTGCACAAAAGGGGTTTTTTTTGCGCAAAACGGACCCATCTACACTGATTGGTTTTGCGCAAAAACCTCTTGTGCAAAAAGCATCAGCAGAGAATATGCAAATGACAGCGTGACAAATGCTAATGAGCTGTTCATTTGTTTACTCACTGCTGGCAAAAGCCTGCAGTGTAGACATAGCCAGAGAGGCTACACACCAAGAACTCGGTCTTTATCACTCCAGTATCTTTATCTGGCATACAGAAGTTTTCTGGTAAGTTGATTAGACTCAAAAGCAGGGAGACGCATGCAAGGTACATCTTTCTCCTTTATTATACATTTCATTGCATTTACATGTCACATCAACATTTTGGGACTGGCTAGGTTACTTTGTCAGAATGTACAGTATGTTTAATTATTCATGTTAAACCAGGCTTACAATGGCAAAATGTCATTCTTCACAGCTTCTCTTTCACTAAAAAAACCATCCAAGTGTTAGGCAGTTCTGAGCTGAGAAATATGCAACATGACCTCTAGTTTAGCTCCCTGATACCGAATCTATTTACTGAGCAATAGCATTCACATTATGAATTGCAAAATATTGCCAGTCAGCATTAGATTCCCAAATGTATATTTTACGGAGTAGCAAAAGTTTCCAGAGATTAATATTGTCTTCACTTATAAGTGAAGCTTCAGAATGTGAAGCTTTACAGACTCTTCAGAGGGAATTTAATGCTTTGTGAGTGCTGAGGTAGGCCAGCTTTTTCCACTAATCACAGTGTTGCTAACTCACGATTTTTATAAGGGCATTCAGAATATTTAGTGTTTTTCTTACTCACATGACACGAGGAGCTGGACTTTATGAATGAATCTCAGCTTTCATGTTAAAGAAAGTGTCTAGCTCCCAGTGTGGCAAAGAAAAGCTTGGAAATGTGGTCTGATTTACTCACCTGCACGGTGTTATTCAGAAAAATGTCTGTTTTTTCAAAAAAAAATCTTCACTTATGTCCACAATACTATCGTGTTCTTTCAAAAGAAAATCGAAAGAACACATGTTTTTCCAACTTTGGTAAACCTCATTCTATGAGGAAGGATGCCTTTTCTGAAAGAGCTCTTTCAGAAAAAGGCATGTGTGGGGAGAGGGAGATTTTTTGAAAGAAGAGGCCTCCAGGAAAAAGCACTGGTGCCCTAGTGGCCACTCTGTCCATAGTAATCACAGCTTAAATGTGAGATAGCATCCATTCAGTGTGGATCCAATCTTTTGAAAAAGCAAATAGATTTTTCGATGTGCTTTGGCAGTGAGGATGCTCTCTTTCGGAAGAAGTTTTTTTGGAAGATCTCTTCTGGAAAAGCTTCTTCCGAAAGAAGCCTGCAATCTAGACATACCCTCAGAAACCAGAAGGCAAAGAAAACAAACTTTTAAAAAAATATGATTGGTTTAAAAATGTCATTCATTTGGGGACCGCTCTTATGATTATAACCTCATTGGGGCTGGCTTTTATATTTCCCAGGTTCATTTCAGCTGAGCACCCAAAAGTTTGGACACTATCTTAAAAGCCTCAAATCCTACACTGAAAATACTGCAAGAACAAGCTTTCCTATGGCGTGATAATGCCTAGTTCTTATATAACAATTTTCACTTGTAGAATACTTTACAGTTGAAGTCGGTGTCATTATTCTCACTTATGGATGCAGATGGGAAGAATGAAAAGGCCAGCTGGGGGAGGAGGTGCTTAGAGAGGGTGCAAAGTTTGTTTAGGGTTGGAACATGGACAGGGCTTCAGGCAGATGTGATTGAGCAGGGGGTGAGTCTTGTGGCAGGGCTGTAGTCTGGGAATGTACAGCCTCTCGAAATGGAGGTGTCACACACTGTCCAACACAAACACCTTTCATTTGTTTGTAACTTGGGCTTAAAATGATGTATGGAAAATGTGCTGTGATTGGATGGTACATGCTGAACATATTGCTTCACAGTGCATTTTTGTCTAAAAAATTACTCCTTTTGTAATTAAATTTAGTAATTACATTTAGTAATTCAAATTAAAAAAAAATAATTTTACCAAAACTCAGTCAGTGCATCCCAGTTCTATGAAGAAATACTGAAACTTCATTGTGTGCTCTGTGATTTCATGGATTAGAGTTATGATTACACATTTTTAAAGTACAGGAAAAGGCAGAGAGCTCATTGTGAGTCAAGAGACAAAAGAATTTGCACATAGGTTGCACAGTGAGTAAACAGTTGCTTTTCTTGGTAGAAAGCCTTTTGGGTTTATCAGCTGAATTAAGAGGGGCTCTTATGTTTAAGGTGGGGCATGGTGTTGTCTAGCTATATAGCAATCACTAGGATATGTGAGACCCTAGAAATCAATGGGCTCTATTGTCAACCATTTACAGATGGAACAAAAATCCAGCCATTATCAGGCTAGATCTGATCTTAGCTCCTGAGTGAGGGAGGAAATATAGCCCTGCTATGAATTAATGACTTGCATGAGATCCAGCATTTTTATTTGCTTCAAACTTAATTCAAACAATTCAAACTTAATTCAAACAATTTATCCTGTGAAGATAAAGGCTTCACTCTGCTGCATTTGCAAAGAAGAAAACTAAACCTAACTTGAACAATACTGGCTTTTGGCTCCATGTGATTTCTCGTGCAGTAGGGAGAACTTACAAAATGATAGCAATTGGAGCCATGAAGGACTTTCCAATGTCACTGCTGTAGCAGCACAAGGTAACAATCTGCAACAATACCATAATGGGAAAGTTTTAGTTCAGTATCACCTATGAGTCTTGTCATAGACACCATTAACATGAGAGCAAGCAATAAATTATTGGGCAGCTTTTCAGTCACTGAAATGGATCCCTGAAATGGAGAACTATCAGCATCTGAATACAGATTGGACCTCTCTGGTCCAGAACCCTCAGGACCAATTTGCTGAGCCAGGGGAGGTCTGCCTGCTGCCTGCTGCCTGCTTTCTAGTCTGCTGCTGGTTCCACTTTTGGTTCTGGCCCCAGCTGGGCTGCCTACCTATGGTCCCAGCTCAGTGACCTACTGTGCAACCCCAGCCCAACTGCTCTGCCACATCCTTCCCCACATCACCCCCACCCTCACCAGCCTGCCACAGCCTGGTCCCCCTGCTGCACATCCTTCCCCACTATTGGGCTGCTGCATGGCCCCAACTCCCTGACATGATCAGCTCCAGCTCCCTGCCAGGCTGCTGTGTGACCCTGGCTTCCCAGTTCACACCCATGCCCCCTTGGCCAGTCTGCCACATGACCCTGTCTTCTCTGCTGGACTGTCACTTGATCCCAGCCCCAACTCCCCTGCTGGCTCCACTGCTGGGCTGCTGATATCCCTGCCGGGTTTCCAAGGGCTCCCAGCAGTCAGTCCTCCTGCTGCCTCACTCCTGGCCACTGGAGCTCTCTGGCCCAGGAACATTCGTGGTCCAGCAGACCAGAGAGTCCTAGTTTAGGGAGGTGTAACCTGGCAGACCAGAGAGTCCTGGTTTAGGCAGGTGTATCTCACGTGCTCTAAGTAGTCCCCTTGTTTTGACCTGGTCAGTGATTTATGTCTCTGATACATCTACTTTTTGTCCCCTTCCATCAAGGACAACAGTGAGAATACTGTGAGGGTGATAGCGAAGGCTAGTTTTAAAGACTTACATAATAAACAAAGCATAACTAGGATTTGTGTTTGCCTGCCTGTGAAGCAAGGAGCCCTGAATCCCTAGTAGATGGTCCAGAATATTTGCTGAGAAGAGTAATGGTGTGTTTGTCACATGCTTTAGCTCTGGGCAACTCAACTTTGAAAGCCCTGGGGGCCATAGTGATACTGATAGCGCATACCAACTTAATTTACACTTGTAAGAGAGATAACTAAATTGTGAGTACTGGACATTCTTTACTGGGTGAGAGATTCCTCCCCCTGGACGAGTGTGTGTTTGTATCAATATGGGTTTCAGTCAAGGGTACTCCTCTGCAGCCTCTTGGTCAGCGATTAGCTCGATCACCCTCATATCTCTGCTTACAGTTGTCCAGGGTCACAGCAGCCAGCATATCTGGGCCTTCTGTCAAGGCTTCAAAGACTATGCTGATTTTACTGCTCTCTCTCTATGCCCTGTGTGCTCCAGGCAAGCAAAAATGGATGTTACAATGGGGGTTCCTGTCTGGCTACATTCCACCCCGATACGACACACCACATCCCAGAATACAAGATGGCGGTGATGCCAGCACCTCTTGCCCACCTTGGAGGAATCTAAAAGTGCCCGATGGCCGGAATAGAGGGTTCAGGATTTAGGAATTGGCTAGGGGCCTTTCCTAGTGCTGTATATCGGATGTGCATGGAAGAGATAGCTACATTGACTAGGCGTTGCACAATACATAGGGTTATGCAGAAAATGATTACAACAATTACAATGGTTAGAACACTGGTTATAATGGAGAGTAGGAAAGGAGTTAGGGAAAATCCCAGCTATTGGGCTAATCCATTTAGCCATGAGATGTTTATATTCTTTGTTACAGCATGTCTTACCCAAACCTACATTGGTGTCCTTGGCTCTCGTACATTTTCATCCTCACCTCCTGGCTTCCAGGGGGACAGGACACATCACTCAGTCCTATTACAAAGCACACAGATATGACATCACTACAGAGGAAGTGACACAACAGATAATTATGGCCTGTCACCAAAGTGCATGTCACCAGAGCCAGCTGATGGAAGAGCAGTCCATAGGTAAGCTACATTTTATTATTATATTGGGAGTACTTGGGGGGGCTGTGGGGGAGGAGGAGAGTTGTTTATGACTGCCAGAACTAGCACCTCCTGTTGTTAGCCAATCTGGTTCTGCAGCAGGCTGGATCTCCCAGCCCAGCCTTCTGGCCAGGTCACATTTCAAACTTAATCCACCTCCAGCATAAGGAAAATCTAACTGAAAACCCAAATAAATACTCAAATAAACAGTTCTTCTAATCCTCTTAGACTTCACTGGAGTTCCCGGTTCTTCACCCCCTACTCAGGGCCCTGCAGAGTTCATTAAACCCCAAATTTTGTTTTTGTTTTCGGCTACTGAATGAAAAAAATCAATTATTCACTCAGCTGTATTTGGAAAAGACATATCTAAAATGCACATTGAGGCTAAACTCTGGGAGGGAAAGAAGTTAACTGTTGAATTTGAAAAGCAAAATATTTTATTCTTACCAATCAACCAATTTATCGTGCTATGTATTTGTAGATAATAAGACTTGATACTAAGCCATATTATTTGCCCCATACATTTGGAATACAGCCCCACATTACACTGTCGGTGTTTGCTGCAAATGAAATTCATATTTATTAATTTGCTAATGAATTGTGGCAACTTCATAGATTTTAAGATCCGAAGGGACCATTATGATAAGCTAGTCTAACCTGGGGCACAACACAAGCTATCAAATTTTACCCAGGAATTCCAAGACTCTCTAGAACTACACTTGTATAAATTATGATTCCCTTATAAATTAGACTTTTCTCATCACAAAGACAGCCACCACAATGGACAAGCTCAGAAAGGAGGCTAATAACCACCACAAAGAGAACAATCATATCACTGTGGAGTGTTTTCTTCAGATATGCATGATAATGAGACAGTTTAGAAAAATTGCATGGTCACCACACTTCCTTCACTCGAGAAAACTTTTTTTTCCTACAGGGTCAGGAAGATCAGGCCATAAATTCACACCAACTATTTTTTAAGTAAAAGAATTGGAGGTTGAGTTCATCAGCAATTCCATTAGTGAGTTTGGATGTGTAAATACTCTGTTACTTATTATTTGTGCTCATAAATTAAAAATGGAGCTTGGATGATAATAAACAATACTTTGATAATATTTCTTAATCTTATTTAACTTCTTTCTAGTTTTCAAACTTCATAACTAATTCTCCTTTAATTATTATTTTGTTCTATAATTTGAAGCTGTAGTTGCTGTATCAGAATATTGCTTTGTCTAATAAGACTGTTGATGGACTATGGAGCATATTTCTTTTGCAAGTTGGTACCCAGAGGTTTCCCAGTTTGCTAGATCATCTCTCCACTTGGCTTCCAACCTAATGGATTGTTTTCAGGATATGGTGGGTCATGTTATCAGAGACCTGCAAGGGAAGGTGGTGACCTTAGCAGAGGCAATCCAGACTTCTCAGGACCACAACAATATCATAAGAGAAAATCACAAAGCATTATGGGAAAAGAATGAAGATATGATCATGGCCTTCCAGGAGAGAAACAAGTCCTTTTGGGAAAAGAACATGACCCTCTGGACAAAGACTATGAACCTCTGGGAAAATGTCAAGACTCTGTTAATGGATGAGATTGAACTCTGGGGAGAGGATCTAGACCAATGGAAAAATGAACTGGAGCTTTGGAAGAAGGAATTAGATCTCTGGGAGGAGGAACTGGGATTCATTGCAGAATAAGAATGGCCACAGACAGCAGGAAAGAGCCATTGGTATAGCAACCCAGAACTGTGGTTTTATGTGTGTACAATAATGCCTGTCTTCTTGAGTTAGGGACCCTAATAAAGTATCAACTGTGTTTCAGCATCTCAAGCACCAGAGTATTTTACAACTATGTTTGTTTGTATTGCATTCATTTCATTTCATTGTTTCCATTTCTGCTTTCTTGTGTGAGGGTCAGTGTCAAACAGACACTACTCACCAATCCAGTTGCTGATCCGTTCCCATGTAAAAAGAGTTAATGGGATCTACTAGAGCTTAATTCTCAGGAGGAAGAATATCTAATCACCAAATTGCTCTTCATTTTAATACAATTAAACAGAATTATTTACAATATCCATTATTGTCTTACATCATATAAATGATGAATATTACTTGCTAATTTTATTTTAGAATGCAAAAGACTTTATTGCAGCAAATGTGCTGGAGGTTGAATAAGTATCATCTACTTCAAGATTTCTAAATACAGATTAAACAAACAATTAATCCTGCCTCAGCACAGTGGGCTGGACTAATTGAGTTCAAGATGTCCCTTCCAGCTCTCCATTCTGGGATTCCTCTTCTGCTCCTCCCAACTCCCATCTCCTTGATATTTCTTCTGCTCAGAGCCCAGGGTAGCTGGCCACTATTCCAACTTTCAGGGTTTGTCCCTTGGAGAATTACTGAAAGCCAGAGCACCCCTCTTTCACTTCCCATTCTCCTAATTAGAATGAGTCAAATGGGGGAAAATAATTTGTGGATACTTTTGCAAAACAATGCATTGAATTCACAGTTCTACATAGGTAGTGTGGTCACACTGGAGTCCTTATTTGGAGTATTTGGACCACTTGCCAGGTGTCTTGTGGAAATTTACATGCATCTTGCATGTTTTAGTAAGTATGATCATATCA